ATATATATAGAAATATATTAAAAATTTTATTTGCACATTAATTTTGACGCGTGACTTTTATATATGTCCTTAGTAATTGTATTTATTATTGTTTAACGTTAAGAGTCAATCATTATTTGAAAAATAAACTCAGTTTATACACTACATTTCTTTGATGAATATATCAACGTAATGTGTGAAATATATGTATATCAAAACTTTATGCTATACCTAATAATATCTAAAGTTATATGGCATCGTATTATACGTGATAATATATCTTAACGTGACTCTATACATATAAACTGAGTTACAGTTACGGATCCGTCATAAAACAGGATGAACATATCCACATATCAAATCCCCTTATTTGCGGTAGATTGCTGCGCAGAAATATAAGAAGTATTTTTCTCTCAATTAACCTTCTCAATTTATGTCATATCGGTGGAACGTGATTCAAAGTTGTTTTTATCACGTGGAAATAAACAGACAATATTATTCAATATCAAATTAAGATTCACTGAAGGGCTTTCGTATCGCATGGATTTTAATTGAAATCGATAATATGAAGAATAAGTTATTATTCCTGCTGATTGATTGAATAAAAAGCGGGAACTCAAACATGGGGCACGCTTGGTAAATAGTACCGAATCTGAACCAGGGCTGAAGTCATGGGTTGCACTTCTTGCTGCGAAGTCCACTCAGCAGAACGCGTGGTTCCGCGCAACAAAAACAACTTTGAATCACGCTTGGTGAGTCTGAGATTTATGTGGGTTACCTATGTCCCTACACAGTCAGCCCGTCAGTTAATACTGATTGCTCTTGCAATTCCACCCCTTCCGAACTTATGAACATATAAAACACGTTTGACACGTAATATGCGTATTCGGATAAATAAAGTACAAGCTTGTGAGGAACAAGTTAGTTGAATTAGGAAAAGAAAGAATCATATAATTCTGAATTTTACATTCTATAATACAAGCTGTACGGATGTAAATTAGCATCGTTAAATGTTATTGTTTTTGCACTCAATATTATGAGTAATAATAACTTGATAATATACGAGAGCATTTTTCATGTTAAGGCAAATATTTTAACCGTAATAATCGCAATAACGTAATATGATACGCTATGATACAATTATCCTTGTGTAAAATATCATTAAAGAGAATGGATAAAATGCTTTGATATATTACACTCAGTCCAAAGTGACTGCTTTACGAGACACATGTAACACCAGGAAAAAGTTCTCGTTAACTTCATGAGCCTGCAAGATGTGTTTCCATAATATTCGTGACAAAAGGAAGTTTATCCTTATATAAAAGAGCTTAAACTTAATGACTGCTATGGAGATAAGGGTTTTCCATTACACTAATGTACCGCCTACGGATTTCATACGGCGCGCTTTATTTTCATTCATTACATAGCAAAAGTTCGGCTATGCCGACCTAACAACATCGGAAGTTATCACGGCTGCATAACTTTCCATTACAATTGCACGCTAAGAATTTCTTTCTCGCAAGATAATACGTACAGGGTGCTCCAAATCTACTTATTCAACAATCTCTTTCATACAAAATTGTATTGGTCTACACTGAAAAAAAATTGATTGCTGCAACAATTTAGATAGTAAAATATGGCATAGCATTTTTATATGGCTGCAACCAGCCTATCGAAATCATATACTGACATTGCGGATAGACTAACGTAACTAAAAATTTGCTGCTACAATCAAAAGCTGATTGTTGCAGCCATATAAAAATACTATGCCATATTTTATTAAATATATTTTTCTAAATTGTTGTAGCAATCAATCTTTTTTTTCAGTATCGATTTATTTAATGCGCAAATATTTTAAATAATTTCGAAAGATTTTTGCAAGACACTTGTAAGAAAACAAATTTCTTTCGAGTATGTCTATTTAAAATTTTCAAAGTATTTATTTTTTTTCATTTGAATCTTAGCCATCTGTTACATATTATAAAAAAGTAAGAAATAAATAAAATAATTTATTACCGTAACCGAGTAGTTCATTAAAAGTTACGAAATGCATGTCCAATATATTTTAAATATTAAAATAATCCAAGAACGCGAATTTGTCAAGCACGAATTTTATCCTCAGATAAATATACGATCCCGACGTTCACTGTCGTTAATGTTAAATCCGGAAGCAGCCAGTTAATCGACAACTGTCGAAGAATTTAATGAAATTTGTTTCTCGATCGCTCGCAAACGCATGCTTTTTAATTAAAATTATGCAAATCCACGATTAATGGCGCGATCGGAGAATCGACACGCGAGTAATGATCACAGAATATTTAAACACGAAAAAATATCCATTTTGAATGTATTCCCGCAGCATACAAAAAGAATACATTAAATCATAGAGTGATTAAAATGGTCGACTGCAATCTGATAGAATATTGAACCACATAATCGTACAGAAGTTTCATAATTTCAGCAGAATATTAATGATCAAAATAAATGGCATCGCGATTCTCAGAGAAATAATTTAATGTGGCTTTTGTAATGTTAACTATATTGTACGTGTATATTAGTTATGTATCATGTAAATCTTTCTTAAAAACTAGGTTCACAATTTGTGATGCATCAAATCGCGCAAATCCGTGAAAAGTATCATATTTTACAAGAGCTTAATTTTCACATTATTCATTACCACGAAACCACATTTTGCGTACCCATTAATTAAATCAATATTCTCCGGTGTTACAAATATTATTACGGAAATAGGCTATGCACAACATCCGAATTTCAATCATTTGAATAATCTCATTATATACGGAATTCTCATCCAACCGCTATTTCAATCGTTTTATGGAAAGTTCCATAAGGTGCTAATGGCTGCAACTATAGGTATCTATGTATCGAAATTCATGAATGAAAAAAGCACGATAAAAAAAAAGCGATGACTAGCAAAAACTAGCAAAGAGAAATGATACATGAATAATAAAAAATAATTTTTAAAAATTTGTTCTCTCCATAAAGTAACAATCATTTTTACAACGATGAATAAACCATTATATTTTGAGTAAAATAACGATCATATTTTTAATATATTTATTTAATGTAATAATCATTATACATATAATTATATAAACTATAAATATTATACTAAATTATTCGTCACAATTATTTGTTACAATTTTACTACTCTTTTAGCTTTATTAAAATTATTCATTTTACGCAGGATTTTAAATTCATTTTTCGGCAGTAGTACTTTTCATAAATTTTCGTTAATTACGTTATTATTGCGCCCGGTTCTGTTCAATTAAACAATAGACTACCTACATAATCGATCATTGACGTGATTCAACATTATCCGCTCACGGAGCGGAAAAATGGAGCGAAAGCTACTCGCAAAATTTCGATGCATTGTTGTATCAGTGAAAGCGTTAGAGCAAGAATGAAAGAGTAGAGTTGCTAATCACGCGATATCGTGCGTATAGTTCGTGCGGTTTCATCATTAGATCACTTTTCTTCGCGTATCGTGTGCAGTATTATTAGAACATGAAAAATAAAATGTATAAGGTGTCATAAAATATAATAAACGAAAGTTAGTCACAGAAATACATGATACATTTCAATCTCCAATGTATTCAAAATCTAGACATTTCTAACAGACTTTTATCGCAAAAACCGAAATTTTTTTACATTAAATGTCTATCTAGAAAATACACGTTTTTTTTTTGGCGACAGATTCAAATTGGTGAAAATCTGTTATCGGTTTATAAGCTCCCGTAGGCGACCATGAATGATTACATCCGAACTGTCCTGAAGCATATTTATATTTGATTTTTATTTACTCTTGTTTTTTTTTGTGTCATTGAAATTTTTTTTAATGTTTGCGACGACTTAAATAAATATCCCATTATCGAAATTTGCAAATCTATTTCTAAAAATATATTTACAATTTTTTAAAGCTGTATATTTCAAAGAAGATGAAAATAAATTTTCAATCATACATCTTTATCTTGTTTATCATATTCGAAAATATCAATAAATGTATATATCATTAAAATTCAATAAAATCTAATTTGATTTAATTCATATTACGTTAAAAATTGTATTAAAATATAATATGCATTTTTAATTTATACTATAATAAAAAATTAAAATATATTAGATGTCTTTTTAAAAAATCAATAGAGAGTATGATTATATAAATGCATCATATTTTGCGCTAAAATAAAATAGTATCAAGAAAGATTAATTAAATATTCGATAATTCTTTTTATAGAATTCGCTTGTTCTTCATTTTTCTCTCTGCTTACTGTGCTTCGCGTATTGTAAAGTTTACAGAGATGAATAAAACAGAAGGATTTTCACGAAATAATTTTCACAAAGTCGAGTAACTGTGAAGTTTTCTTCGTCGCGCGTATAATTTTGAGATTAATATTAAACAGCGTCTAATAATTGTTCCCGTAACACGTAACTATCTACTTGCCACGATTCTCTCACAATTGTTTAAATTATTGTATTTCGTCATGTACACTTTCATTCTAATATTTCTCTCCTCCTATCTCACCCTTTTCGTCTTCTTGACAACATCAAAGTTTTAAGACTTCCTATCGCATTGCCGCCACAATTCGCAAGATACCTCAAATTTCCTCAAGGCAAGATTTTAATATTACTTTTAGAGTATCAAATGTACTATTCTCTTCATTCATATTGCATTCAGAAAATGTACAAAATATATTTATATTCATATTAACATTTAAATTATCTAGCGGACAAGAATAATTGGTCAAATTATTGTGATTAATTCAGCCTGAGAAATCTCGAGACTCTGTTCGCGCGATAAAATCGAAGGAAACATTTAATAAATGCAGATCTCTCGATTTTACGACTTAATGTACAAGCCATCTCGTTCCCTCTGAGATGCTCGGTCGGGCGACGTGCTAAGCCGTTGCAGATATTGCTGAATCTATCGCGGCCTTATCAGCCTTCATTAGGCGAATCGCACGAAAGAAAAAAAGAAGAGAAAAAGCAAGCAAGTGAGAGAAAAAGAGAGAGAGAGAGAGAGAGAGAGAGAGAGAGAGAGAGAGAACTAGTGCAATTCTGCTAGAAATTCAGAGTCACCACAGTCGAATCAGCTCTCGCCATAATCCGATTTTGCGTCTCTCTTCTTTCCTGGATCGCGCCCTCTCTCGCGCGTTCCTCCCGTTTGCTTTTCAACTGATAACTAGTAATTAAACAGCTCCAACAACGGAATAGGGCATTTACTCATGCAATTCCTATCCCCGTCTCCGCCTTTCTTTAGCATCC